TTCTAATATTATGGACTAAAAAAAAAGCATCATAGTGTAGCCTACTGTGTCCAGAGAGGACTTAAATGCACAAAATCCCTTTGAGTCTCATACAGGCTTGATCTCTAATCACCTAAACACTTGAAATCCCCTGCTCACCCTGAAACATAGCAGGGAGGCAGATCCCAGACTGACCGATTGCAGTGTGTCAGTGTAGCTCCTTATGCCTTCCCTACTTAGACTTACGCTTGAGAGTAAACATCAGTAACATTTCATACTGCGTTCTTTATTTACTTCTTTTGGCTAAAAGCAAAGAACAAGCTTCTCCTCCGTAACTGATTGGAGCTGCCTGTGAATCCTGAATCCCATTCACTGTGATCTTCATGGCATACAGCTATTGAACCACCATAACAGCTAGACAGTCAAGCTAGAAAATGAAGGTGGGACTAGATTAACACTCTTCACCTGAGACTTAGGGCAAGACTTTTTTTTTTTTTTTTGATGGAACTGTTTTTTTCCCAAGAGATAAGTAGCCCTTGCAGCAAGAGCAGGAACCCAGGGATTCAAGAATTTTTCAAGAAGTGAACTTGAGAGAAAGTGAGAGAGACAGATTATGTCTTGAGACTGACAAATCAAAGTCTTCTATATGAAAAATTAGGGAGGGGTATACCTATTAGGATGCCTCAGAAGTAGTCAGAACCAAGGCAGGCTTTTGGAAAAGTGAACTATGAACAGACTTGATGTAATTTTAATACCCTGTTTCTCTAATGTGATGCTTTGGTTCTACTGTTAGAATTAAACAACAGTTTAGCTTAAAAAGACTGGCCACAAGTTTGCTAGTCCAAGAGAACAACAGCAGCTAATAGAAATATGCGAGAACCTGCTAGATGAGCCCAACTGACAATTTTTTTTCTGTGAAAATACTCCAAAAAAGATGAAGGCACAAAGCCTTATACATGTTGTTGTCTCACAGCAGAAAAGGCCCTGCAAAATCTAAGATTGTTTTTTTTTTTTTTAAATGTGATTGTCCTTACCCTAATATAAATCCCCACGTGTGCAAACTCAGGATTAGAAATGTGTACCACTGCAGTCAGCAGTTAGTCATGGATGGCTACAGTTGCAAAATGGACTCTACTGTTTCCATAAAGCTCCTTGCTTCCAGTAATGCATTGTATTGACTTGCAATTGAACAAAATCATTCACAGAGCATGTAAGGTCAGTCTGTGCTCTGCAAATCATACAAGGTATTTACTTTCTTTTATATTGCTGACAGTATCAGAGGAGTTGGACATACTTCTCTGGACAAACTGATGCTCCTAATGTGACTCAGTGACACTTGCTAGGTTTCTGCTATCACTTGGTTTGTTCCTGTGTCGTAAATGGTAAAAATTTACTAAACTGCTCTGATGGTACATGTGACATAATTTCAGTCCTTTCAGAGCTGTGTCATCTCTACAGGATAAAAGAATCAGAAGACAGTAAAAGGTTATTTTTTTTTCCACTATGCCTTTGATAAACACAAGCTAAAGCTCTGTTGAATAAAATGGAGCTGCTGTTTTTGTGTTTCAAAGAAGAATTGCAATTGAAAAGGTTGCTACGGAAATGAAGGAAAGAGGCCAAAAGAAAATTGTGTTTTCTTTTTTCCTTCAAATAGACAAGTTTTGAAGTGGTTATATAATATTTAAGTTACTGAATACTGAATGTTACTCTGTTCAAGAATAAATGATTCACATATGCGGAATGATTCAGCCAAATTTACATTCTGTGAATAAATGTTTATTTATGAAATTATACATGCAGCACAACCAAAATGAAGCAGGGACAGGCTACAACAGCTCTCCTAGGATACATATGATACTGTATCTCTCATGGAGCTACTAAACTGGCACATACATATTCAATAGGTAGCTAAATTCAAAACGCATTTCTCACGACAGTGTTCCTGATTCATCTTTTGCAGGCCATGAGCACACTAGGCTGACCTCCAGAGACGGTATACTAAAAAAGATTTTTGAGACACCGGGGAGATAGCAGAAGGCAGTAAGAAAAATGGGATCCCTGTTGAAGAAAGTCATCTTCTAGCTCAGCAGTAAGCAATCTGTAGAGTCTGAGAGGGCAGTATTCTGCTTCAGAGCAGAATGAAAAGCAATGATTAACAACTTCAATAATGTCGACACGAGCAACCTACACAAAAATTTTCAAAAGCATGGCTTTCTAAACTGCTGGAAAAGTTGAATAAGTTCCTCGGTGTGAAAGTTCCAAAAAGAAATTCTTCAAATTTGGCTTGAATATGTATTTCTTTGAAACTTGAGGACGGAGCCACATATGAAAAATACATGGATTGTACTGAAACTTTCTGCATTTGAACTTTGTGTTACATAATGTGTTAACTTACAACTTACCATAGGGTCTTCCTTAGGCTTCCTCATATAGTCAACAATTACTTGGAAAAGGAAGCAAAGGAGGAGTGTTATATTAAACAACCAAGTGGTATTATCTTTCAATCACATTTTTTATTTCCATTTTCAGGTAAGAAAGCAGAGACTGACTAAACAATTTGCCCAGAGGTAAGAAAACAGCTGACATATGGGGGTTAAACCTTGCCTACAGCAGAGCTGCATCCTGTTTCAGATGCTGATTCCCTTCTCACCAGATTCTTGTGATTTTCCTGAACTTCAGTTTTCCCACCTGTGAAGAGTTTGTAACAACCAGTCCAAATGGATGCCTGTCATTTGTGGGTTTTATATGGCTGGATGATAACCAAGTGAGAAACAGAAATCAGGAGTCTTTGTTCTAACACTTATGTTTGGTTTTGTAAGCTTCCTAACTAAGTATATCACCAGAGGCACTGAAACTCACAGCTTTCCTAAAGTGTTCGTGAAAGCCTGTCAGAGTTTTAAAGAACCTGTTTGCACAAAAAAAAAAAAAAAAAAAAAAAAAAAAAAAAAAAAAATGCACAAAAGCATTTCTCTACAATCTGAAGAATCAGAGCTAAATATTACATGAGGAAGATCAACAGGAAAACACATGAGAGATGGGGAATATATTTTAAAAGTGCTGCTTTTTTCCTTCCCCTTTGCAATTTGCCTTTTATGCCCATCTAAAGTAAGTACAGAGATGCTGCTAAAGCACAGTATTTCCTCTGTCCTTGGCACTGCTTGCAAATAAAAAGGTACTGAAAATTCTAACATAGTGTTTCCAACTTTAAAACCTAGTCTTCAAAGTTTTGGGTCTCAGTGATAACCACAAAAAAGGCAAGTTATAACATCTGTAGCTGAACTGCTGTTAAGATAAGCATATGCACAGATATGTTTTGATAGCAACAGTGGAAGTGTTCTTCACCATGCCTGTTCTAACATTTACCCTCAGCGTTACTTTGTACCTGTCCTGTTGAAAGTTTCCCTGACACATTTTTTTGCATGTCTATAAGCAAGAATGTAGCAATTCAACCTGAAAGCTGTGAAAGTTACAAGCATCTGTACGAAAAAAATTGGTAAGTTACAAAAGTAATCAACTTTAACTGGAAATCATCATCACCACCCTTGTTCTCATCATAAAAATCCTGTGGAAACAAGAGTCTATTTAATTCACTGTTACAGAAGTAATTTAGCCATGATCACTTACGATATTCCACAGTATTTTGATTAAAGGATGTTTATAGCGTTCAAGCTGAATGCTTCAATGGTAAAAAATTAGCATGGACAAATAACGTTAATCTCCTTTCTTTCTGGAGCAGTGAGAGGAAGTAAATTATATTTATAAATACCATATTGTAATAATTTTATGCACGATAAACATTTCTATGCAGGGATATGAAAATGTCAACATTGCCAGTGGAAGGACAGTAAGAATTTTCCAAAGTGCTTTTGGAATTTTGCATGTATTTGGTGAGCTTGGCCCATCTGACACTTTGCGAGCTTGTACAGCCTTTGGGTAGATTTCTATACATGTTAAATACTTCAGTTCTATTCCAAACGCTTCAGAGAAACAGGATCAGTTACCTCCAAAGGGTGGAGTTTTCATTCTGTTTCTCTAGACAGCATAAAGCCAACTCATCTATTCCTAAAGATCTGGATTTACAGTCACATTTTTCACCTACAAGTCTTGACCTCTCCAATGGATAAAACATCACGATTGCCATTTTACAGTTAAGCCAACTACAAGGCACAGAGAAGCAACTTCCTCACAATCCTATGGGAAGTCTTACTGATCGTTCCTCAGGAATTCATTTAAGCCTCTATTCTTGGAAGAAATGAATAAGAACATGCATTAACAGTGCAAAGCACTAACAAGACTGCTACCTACAAACGGATTACAGAAAAGATAACCCCAGCAATGTGGAACATTTTGCACAAGCATACCAAAGGAATCAACTAAAGAAAGGTTATGTTAGATGTTGCATTAGGCACACATTAATGTCTGAGTTTGTCATCAAGTTCAAACTCATCAGAAGTCCAAAAAACTGTGTTGTTTTGCCACTGTAATGCCTCAGCCATTTCTGGGAAGTTCAGGTGTTTCTAAGAAGTACAATACAGTGCTTATCAGCCACTGCAAAATTAGTGCAAATTCGGACAACAGTTTGCAACATTCAACTTCTCTCTGTGGGCCTTAGACCTAAACAGTAAAGTAGGACTTTCCTTACTTATTTTATACGTATGTTTCAGTACTTGTTAAAAATTATGAAAAGTGGATCTCATCTACGTATAAACAACTGCCAAGCAAACAAAATTTGTTTCAGCTTTTATGATAACTAGCAAATAAGAAAACAGATGTGTAATGTATAAATGAGAAACCAGCACAGCCTCACTGTGATTAAGCTAAAAAGGCAACTGAGCACCATGACAACCAAAGACAATGTTCCCATTTCATGGCAGCCCTCTTGATTAGCAAAATAAAAACTGCTTCTGACATAACTGAATCCAACTCATGTTTCATAAAGACAGAAATTTTCAAAACATCTTATCGAAACTTTACTAGATTTAAATCTCACTGCATTTTTGACCCCTGAGCCTGATCAGTACCTCAGAGAAGGGGCGCTGCAGCTCTGCGCTGCTGCTCTTTCTGCGACCTTACAGAAAGTCGCCCTTCCCTCGTCTTCCAAGCTGTTCCCAGCAGAAGGCTTTGTAAAACACACGCCTTTCTGCCCACGAGCGCGTCTCAGCTCGGCACCTTCCTCCCCAGGGCCGGACCGGGCGCCTCCGCCTCAGGAGCCCGCGGCGGCGGCCGAGCTCCCCGGGGCCGCTCCAGGGCCGGCTGCCGGAGGGGGCTGGCGCCACCTGGCGGGGCCGAAGGCCGAGCGGGGCCGGCCGGGCCCTGCCGCGGCTCCTCCCGCGCCGCCTGCCTCAGCAGCGGGGCGAGCTGCCGTCTGAGGAGCCTCCCGTCGAAGGAGGGCGAGGAACGAAGGGACCCGGCTCATCTGCGGATTCCCGCAGCTCCTCTGCTTGAGTGCGGGTCGCCTGTAGCCCCCGCGGTCGCCCAAGGAGGGAAGGGGCGATGTGGGGGCCCTTTGTCCACACCCAGCTGCTTACCAGCCGTCTGCTGCTGCAGTGTGACACCCGCATCAACGCTTGGCATCCACGCGAAGGTGGCAGGCACCACAGTGCTGTGGAGCACACCTTCTTTCTGGAAGCCACCTCAGCCAGGTGCTGTTAACAAGCTGGCGAGCCTGTCTGCAGTGAACATTATGGGAAAATCAAGCCATCCAGCTTTGCCAAAAAAGTCACAATTTTTTTCATGATGCGTTCCCTGAAACAGGAAGGCTTTGAGGCTGTTAAAGCATCAGAGGCCATGTTTCCATGCTCAGGTGCAGCCCCGGTGTGAACTTCCCCACCAGAAGCTGCTCAGACAGCAGCACAAGGTTGCACCTCAGCTCGAAGCCCACAGCCATGCAACAAAATGGCCGCCAGCGCTAACGGCCCACAGCCATGCAACAAAATGGCCGCCAGAACTAACGGCCCACAGCCATGCAACAAAATGGCCGCCAGTCCAGGCTGTCAGCAGCCCCTGTGGCTTGGGTGCAACTACCATCACTGTGTGGATACACCCCAAAAACTCAGTTGTGGTTTTTAAAACATTAGGCAAACACATATTCGGGTTAAAAAATTGAACATTTTTCTCCTGGCCGTTGCAACAGTTACTAGCACTTGGGTGGAGGGAGGGATGAAGAACCACACATGACCAAGTGACAACATTTGTTTACACCACAGGAACTCTGCAGACTTCATTGGATCTACTCAGTTTGCACTTGTAGCAAGAAGAGAGGTCACAAATTTCTAATTCTACAGAAACCTGCAGGTATGTTTGCATGGATTAACGCTTCTTTTTTGTCATTTCTTTCTCTCTCCCTATATTCAACTTGAGCTGGAAAGAGTAATGTTTTAATCTTCTTGAAATGACTTTTCTCATGAAGCAAAAGTTACTGCTTACAGCGGAACATAGTCATATTAGGAAGACAAACTGTCAAGAGAGGTGACCCTCTACAATGCATCCATTCATCAGGATCAACCAAGGAAAGCCTTTCAGCTTACTTCAGCGGAGCAGAGAACCAGGACCTCCACCATTATCCCAGCCAAAAAATGAGAACATTGTAAGGCTAAAGGTCAGCCCTTTGAGGAGTGGGTAAGGAAAGGTTAGAAACAGGTAATACAACTGAGACCCCCTCATTTGTACACCTCCCTTCAGTTTTGCTTTGTTTTTATCCTTTTGGAAAACTGTCAGAAAGCATGCAGAGTTGCTTGTCAGCTTGTTTAAAAACAAACCTGACAAAATATATATATATATATATATTTGGTATGAGGGAGAGGAAAAGGAAGACTGGGAAAAGCAGCATACAATCCTGATGTGTTGGTTTTTTTTTTAAGGACAATGCATGTTCTTGAGTTAGGCAATGGCTTATGTCCTTGTAGGCTAAAAGAGCTACATGTGCCAGAAGACAACATTCTTTGGGAGAGATGGTGCACAGGACAGCATGGGAACCAGGCTTTGCTTTTTGTGGTGGTTCAGGACACTTCCAGGTTTGTTGCTGGTGGAAATCCTTTCTGTCTTTTTAATGCGCAGAAGGCTATCTTTGCTTCATCCTAAGAGGCATTTATAAACTGTAATTTATTACCTGAATGGGATCATCAGTTTAAAGTAAATAAATAATAATTTTTAAAAAGGTCATTTTAAAATGTACAGTAGTCCTTATGTTTACAAAGCATAAGCCCATCTGGACCATAAGATTTCAAAGATTGCATTTCAGAAAACTTATCCTAAAAAGCATGGTGTATAAAAGTTAAGGGGAAGAGAAATGAATTAAGGAGAAGAGCAGGATATTCAGCATTTCTTTACAATTGTACATTTAATTCAAAGTTATAGCTTCAGACAATTCAGTACCTAGTAAGTATCAAATTTTCCCACTGTGGTGTCAGCTTTGGAGAGAGGAGCTCTCTGCCTGTCTGCCTTGCTATTCCCAGTGACACAGCAGCTTGTAACATTCCAGGAACTTCTCACTTGCTCTCTGCTTTTTCTTTTTTTTTTTTGCTTTTTGCTTTTTTTTTTTTGTTTGTTTCCTGAGTGAATGTGCTCACCAGATGCAATGATAGTTAAATGAAAGCAACAACAACAAAAGACCAAAGAAAAATCTAAACGGATGCAGTATTTCCCAGTGGCTTATTTTCTAGTGGGTTATCCTTGCTGAAATGAGTATGTAACAACCTCTGCTAACCAGTGGAAATTCCAGAGATAAATTCATACCAGAGATACTCAGCTCCATGTAGTTCTGGGCAACTATTGTGCAACAGTTGATCTAAACATTTACTTGAATAAAAAACTACTAAAATTACTTAGTGGATTTTTTCCCCTCATTTTGCTTGTAATTCATGAAATTTCATAGGAACAAATTTGAGTGCAAGAGAATATTTCTGATGGCATGAAGGTTTTGGGGATGTTTTTGAGAAGGTTTGTCTGCAATGGAAATACTTACATACCCATACTGAAAATTCATTGTAAGCTTGAGAATTATCCAGTCAAGACAGAGAACCCGTAACATCTGGCAGTGAACCTTATAGCGAACTTGAGAAACAAACTTCCACAGCTATCTGAGGAAATGACTCGGACACACCTTATAGGCTGGAAGGTACCCACTTAAACTATTCACCAAACACTTTGAAATACCCTGTTCATCATAAACGGTATGTCTGCATTGAAAAGCTTGAACAATGCTGGGGTTGAATTGTGAAGGATATCTGCCTGGAGGACTTCTGGTAACACAAAAGGTACATGAAGGGAGGATGCAGCTAAAAGATACCCCCAACCTCCCCACTCACTGATAAATCAGAGTAATGCCAGTGTCAGCAGACATGCCCCCCTGAAGAAACCCACAAAGGAGTGGTCAGATCAGTTATGCGACTGGGGACTGAAGACCACTACAGAAACAAAAACTGGACTACAAAAGTGGAACAGGTAGGAACTGTCAAGTGATTTCTGTGAGGTCTGTCCCCATCCAAGGCTCAAAAGTATTTCTGTCCCACTCCTATGTGATGTATTTAACACCAGCTCTGCAGAATTGCCAAGTCATATGATGAAACTATGGAAAACATGAGCTAAGGGAATAAATCTCACATCACTCCAAGCTGCTTTTCAGGCTGTTTCCCTGCTCCCCTCCCCTTCTAGCATGGTTCTTTTCGAACTGGTGTTTCACACTCTAAACCCCGAGGGCATTGATATGCCAGGCAGGAGCTGATATGTTGTGCATCTTTAATAAGCATGCCTCGCAGCCCTGTATTCAAAGGGTGGTGTTTCATTAGCAACGGCTTAAAAATTGATTTAAACATTATGTTCATTGCACACAAACACTCACAAAGCCTTCTGTTCCCATTGAGGCTAAAAAATTCCATTGTATGCGTAATCTTTTATGAGTGCATTCTTTGAATACTTTATTTCTTAGAACTGTAACAGTTCTGTTTATAAAAAGGAATGATACTGATAGCAATGTTAGGAACTTTCAGAAGGGACCACTTAGATCTTTAAATTTCCATATTAGTCCTGTTTCAAGAAAAATACAAAGCAAAACAAAGACCCTCAATTACATAGTTTAAATTCTTTAAGAAACAGCTTCACATGCCAGGCTAAGAGGATAGAAAAACCAATCTTTGCCTCCTTGATCAGATCTTGCAGCCCTCTAAGGGCAGTTTCACATTAGAGCTTTTAATTAGTTTTTAATTAGTGCGTAGTTGCAAACCGGTTTACTACTACTGAGTCAGGCTATCGTGTTGGACTGGGGATATTTAGAGAAGACAACAAACTGGGGGGTGAGAAGCCTGAGGAAACACAGGGCCAACTGTTTTTTGAGTTGCATGGGGAATGCGGGAAAAAAATCCATAGATGCTCTGTATGTCAGCCAGGATCTGTGTCCAAGGAGACACAAATGAATGGTGTGCCTGCTATCCTCTTACTGATGCTCAGACACAAGTTACTGCTGCTGAAACAACTGCAGCACAGTACTTCAGGACAGGACCTTAGAGACTACTCTGATCACCTCAATGATGCTCAAAGCCTCTTCCCATTCAATCCCCTCACTTCCAGAAGAGGAGCTGTAGGAGTCTAGCAGGGAAACAGTCAGTCTGATTTACAATTTCTTTTAAGTTAGAAGAAACATTCCTTTTTTTAATTAACATCCTGCCTCTCAACTTAACAAAGAACAATTTTAAATGCATATTGGTTTAACAAGGTAATTACCAACTAATCAACCCTAAGTAAATGTTCCATCAAGGAATTCTTTACAATGCCACATGTTGGAAACGGAGCCGTCAGTAGGACTGTAGATTACACATTTTAGTGGACTTCACTGTACTCTTGAAAATTGTTTTAGTCTTCCACAAATCTGCAGAGAAACAGGGACACGCTGGAGCTCAGAGATATGTTCTGCACTGCTCCTTCTGCAGAGGCAATTATCCAGTGACAAGCAAAGTATCGTATCACTGGACACGTAGTCAACTAATGTCAGACTTCAGTAACTCAATAACCAGGTCAGAGAAACAGATCTGTCATATTTCTTTAGAAAAATCTCTTCTATGCCTCAGTACAAGTTGTCAGAATTAAGTGCAGATTTAAGAGTTCATTTCCACAGAGGCATTGCACTAGATTAGAAGTAAAGGCATTAAGTTTTCAGTGCCCAAAGCCTCAGTTGTTACAGATCAGCACTTTCTGGCCCATATTAAGAGACTTCTCTGCTCTACCTGAGCTCCTTGTATGGATTTGTATTTATTTATTTTTAATACTTCCTCCATACTTGCTGAGACACTGTTTCAAAGCAAAACAGCAAAATATGCTGCCACAGTAAACCCTTAGAAAGAGCATGCTGGCCAAAAGAACTCTGAGTGACCTTGCAGTGTAACATTTGAGGAGCCTTGCTAAAGTTGCAGCATAATTAATTCAGGGGCTTTTCAGCTAAAACACAGATCTATAATTCATGGCAAAATTAATATACCTGGTATCATAGGAAAGAAAAGGTCTTTTGATCACTTGATTCCCTTGATCACACCATGATCTTCTGCAGTTTCCTCTTTAATCCCCAGTCCATTTTCTGCTTTTTTCCACATCAAACCAGCCAAAACAACTTTAATTATTGTTACACAGTTAAGTTGTGATATTTTAAGTAAATTGTCTACAGTTAGCCCAATTTGAATACAAGCGGTCATGATACGGTCACTGTTTATATACAAAAGGGAACTGCATTAACAGCAGTTGAATGCCTCTGTTCCCTCTGAACACACATTAAAAACATTCCCCCTCTGAATTAACAGTTGTATGATGCATATGGGTTTCATCTTAGAGGAAACAATTCTAGCTCAAACCGCAAGGGACAACCTTTGTAGTCTAAAGCTGCTTGATCTTTTTGTTGCATTTAGCTGAAAGAATCTCACTTTTACTTTGCTGCTCTTTCTCTTGCCATTTTCTTGGTTCTCCTCTTAGTTTACTTTTGTGGAGGAAATCTCTCCTTACTCCCATCTCCTTTTAAGCTCAGTAACAGCACAGGTTCAGCTCATTTCCCCCTTTTCATTTTGATTATTAGCCTGAATTTGAATGTAGGCATTTGGTTTATCTGCAAAAGTACTTGCCTCTCTTAGTTCACATTAGAACTAGTAGAAAGAGAAATCATACCAGAACATGCAAACAAGTATTTAGGGCATATGAAGTAGCTGTTCAGCCTCTAGGTGAGGTATGGGTAAAGCCTCAACTGCAGTGCATGAATAAGACATTAATATTGCTGGAAATGGTCTGAGAGCAAGAACAAGTGGAAGTCTGCACAGCAAGACCTATGAGGGAAAACTGAACAAGCTGAAACTGTTTTCTCCACTGAAGAAAACACCAAAAGGGAGGAGGAACAGCAGATTTCCATATGTATAAGACAAGAACAGTTGTAAAGATTTGTTTACTGAATTTTCTGTTCATTGGAAACAGGGCAGGGGAAGGGAAGGGAAGGGATCTGGTTTAGCCATTTTTGATTCCTTGAGAACTTCATTGGAATTGAGAATTTCAATCGGAAACCTAATGCATAGGTTCACTGAAGGTGACTATTTCAAACCCCTCGTAATCGCCATGCCAGAACCCTTGTATTTAATGCTCACACCATATATTCTGGCTTCTCTGCAGGCCTCCTCTGCTAGCATTCCAAGGGGTAGCCAGGTTACCCTGCACCATGAGTGACTACTTTAGGACAGTGCTACATCTTGGAAAACAAGGCATATTAACTTGGGCTCACCTCTGCAGCCATGCAACCACCCAACTTTGAACTGGCTCGAAGAACTAGAAGAAGAAACTCAGTTCTTCCCACAGCATATCATGGAAAGATTTTCTCAGAGTTTTGTTTTCTTTAAGAACTTGCAAGTTACGCAATAAAAAGTAATGCTTAGCACTTGCAGTGGTGTGGTATCTGTTACCTGATGGTTTCAACTGTAAGACATGCCTTGTAGCGTGTCTGTGTTGGGTGGCATGACTCATTTTGGAGCAGAGGGTGACACAAGAGATTCCACAAAGGCCACACTGTGATTCTTCAGCAGAGCTCAGACTAAAACATACAACTCTCAGATCTGCAGAGCAGCTTGCACAGAACCTCAGTTCCTTAAGACTTTTGAAGAGTCTCAGAAGATATCTTGCAATAAAAGGCTCTATGAGAGAAATTACAGTCTTATTTTATTTAGCATCTCTGTTTTTTCAACCATTTGTAATTCAGGCAGCTATCAGCAATGTCTGAAATATCTTTTAGAAAATAAAGAGAAAGTGGTATCAGCAAACAGCTTTTAAAGCGGACAAAAAAAAAAAAAAAAAAAAAGCAGACATCCTGCCTCCCTTGTAGTGGTAAAGGCTGACCAGATGGTGATCAGGGTGAACAGATCTTTCAAGAAGGTATTCTTTAACTAAGAGCTAATGAGAGGCATGAAGGGGCAGCAGTGAACTGACAAATACCAGCAGGTCGGGGAAGAGAATAAAAAAGAAATAAAAAGCTTATTTTCCACCCAAGTATTATATATTCAAGAGGGTGTAAACTCAATTTAGAAAGTGAAAAGAAATTGGGGGGAGGGGGAAGGTCACACAGAGGACAAAGCTGTATTTTATATTAAATTTACTGAGTTATTTGGAGAACAAAGAGAGTCTATCAAAGCAAAAATGCTGCAGTTTCCCGAAGCACTGTGGAAACTACAAATCTTTGCATAGGAGAAACAGCTAACGCTACCAACATGGTCCGTCAGGGAGAGCAATGCTGACTAACTCTTGCATTTTTACCCCAGATAATTTTGTGCCACCCTTGCACAAGGCATTCCTATGCAGTGAATTTAATCAGCTGAGCTTTACCTACTCTGTTACAGCTATTTCTGCATAACTCCCTCCTGTGGACACTCTATTCTGGAACAATTAGTGAGTAATTATTTCAAAATAAATCAGCTCTATTCCACAGCGCAGTGTCCACATGGGGGAGTTACACTGAAGTAAAGCTATTCAGCTGTAGCAGTGCTGCTCAACCTCCCCATGTAAACAAGCCCTGTGACTGATACTAAATTACTTTAATACAGATGTCTCTTGAGATTGAAGTTCTGGAGTCCAAGAGAATCAATCTTCCAAACATAACTGTATGGCTTCAAAAACTGACCCTAGAAGGACCCAGAAACACATTAATTCACTGGCTTTTGCATCATAATTCAAATTCATTTGAAGTTGCGTGAAATGTAATAGAAATAACTCGTGTATTAGCCACACACACACACATTGCAATGTCTTGGCTATTCCAAGGTACTAGAAAGCTGAGAGGAGCATCACCACATGCTGCCACTCTGGAGGATTTAATAAGCACTCTCAGTGAGTGACAGAAGGAAGGCCACCAGAGTACAGGTAAATGCTACAAGAAGAGGAGTTCAAGGTTCAATAGCTGGTACACTGTGCTATGGAAGCGCAGAGGCAATAATTTAATACTATAACATGTTGTAGTCATTCATGTACCAAAAAATCCTAAGAAAAACCTATGAAGGAAGGAAATATTGATCCTTGTTTCTACATCACTACCCATTCTGTAGGGTGAGGATGGGGAGGAAATAAGACCTCTCTCTCTTAGGGGTTGGCCAAAGGGTAAAAAGCATTTCTTCTCTCCAATTTCAGAAGAGTACGACAGCAGTTTTCCAGTTCTTTTCATGGAAACTTGCCCTACCAGAAAAAGGGCAGAGAGCAGGCTCTTAGACTGTAAGTCCCACGTGCAATAGCAGAGAGAAGAGAGAGTTTTTGTGGAGCTCTTTTCATATGCTAGGCTCCTCCTAAAGGCATCGTGATTTCAGAAAGAGGAAAGTCTTAATTCTTCCCTCAAAGACAGGTTAGCTTTGCATTTTTCACACGCAAAAAATCATGCCAAACTGACAGCTTATGAGGAAAATAAGCTATCCAGAATCTTCTTCAGCTCTCCTCACCCAAGGGGAAAAAAAATAGAATTCAGAGCTATTTTGTCTAAGCACATTCAAATGCAGCGCATTTGCAACTTTCCTACCAGACTTCAATGTGGGTGGTTAGGGTCTGTCGGCCGGACGATGTGGCGCAGCACGGAAAGGTGGAGCCCCTCCCTTGATGGTCAGTAGTGTGTGGTCTGTGATGTCAGTGAGCAGAAGTGACGCTATGGGCCTCGGGTACATGACGCCATGTGACTCGACAATAAACGCCGTTTGCCATCCACCACATTGGTGTCTGTGAGCCGAGCGACCTGGGGTTGGTCGCCACTGCCCCCTGAAGGCAACACTTCAACTTTCTATCCACACCCACCTCAGCAGTACAACTATGCAAAAAGACTGCAAACTCTCTTTAATACTGGAAAAAATATTTTCTTTCATTCTCACAAGTGATTTGGTTGCTTGCACTGAACCTTACCAAAAGGATTCCTAGCTAAACAGAGAAAATAAAAAGTTTACTCTCTCCACCTAGCCACTATCAGCAGATTTATGGGGAAATCTGAGGCCCTTTGAAATGATACTACAGCAGGTATGCTTTAGGGAAGGTAACTAAAGGTGTCTGCAGTTTTCTATCGATAACATATTTTTAAATGATAGCTGCAACAAACTCACACATGCAGTTTAAAATCAGATACAATAATACATCTGACAGTGCTGTATCGTATAAAGATTTCCTTTGCACAGATCTCTTTCATCAAATTCCTGTAGTTTTTCTTTGGTTTGAAGAAAGGATGCACCTGTATCCCTAGGAACACCGTGACAGTATAATGGATAGTTCATTTGCAGAACCTGCAGTAGTGCTGGCGGTAAGTCTTTCTGTTGTTTGTAATACTGAAAAGATATGTTACGTCTACAGACAATGGGTGAAACGTTCACTAGAGCCAAATGGCTTTGTAACAGATCACCATAAACAGGTTGCGAAATAGAGATTTATATGAACACATTTGGAAAGTGTTCAGGAACTGTATATATGAAGTCAATCCTGATTTATTCAACAAAGCTGTCAAAATTATTTATGCAGTAGAAAATGCATATAAGAATATTTGCCAAGACTTTCATCCCTACATAACACAAATGTATACACGCGTAAGAACACCATACAGAACATGTCTACCTCGGTGGGTGCAGGCTGACCCAACCTCATTCTGCTTGTGTTCTGAACAGAAGCCTGTCCCAGTCCAAAATCCATACAGCCTTCTAGAAGGGGCTAGTGTCTACCCTAATTTGGGGGGGGAAGGTTGTGTGTTTTGTTCATTTGTTTGTTTGTTGGCCTCTCAACAATGTACAAATAGTATAAAGCAATTTATCTGAAAAAAAAAAAGTCTTTCTCCCCCCATTTTCTGCATAAACAAATCACTGCAAGCCCACGTTTCTTGTTTATGAATGCATTCACAGAAATACTAAAGCAAAATTTTGTTAGTTCTTATGTCTGCGCATATCTATGACTTTTTCTGGTACTATTTGGTAGACTATTTTGTATATCATCTCCCAGTAGGAATGACCTAATGGAAACAAAGCAAAACATATTACCAGTTGGAATTCTATTCTTATGTGAGATCATCGGCTTTAAAAAATATATATATATATATTTTATTCTAAGTACAGAATTCTAGTTTTGGTCAGCACCAGTATTCATTTTGGCAGTATCTAATCTGAAGAGTATCACTGGTGCGTTCTGGGTCAGATGGAAAAGCAGATCAGACAATACACTCCTGACGGGAGTTAAACACATGCTGTCAGCTTCAGATAATCAAAGCCCATGCTAACAGAGAATCTTCTGGGCTTCCCAGGGGAAAGGGAATCACTGCTATCACAGTGAACTCTGATGTAAGTCATTTAATGTCCGTCTTTCCCCGGAATTTGTTCATTCATTTTTGGTGTTCTGCTCTTAAGCCAAGAACTAAGCCATCTTAGTCCTTGTTTCAGCACCACCAAGGACTATGGATCCTCAAAGAGCTGGCAGTCAGCACTCTGGATTATGAGGCAACGTTAAATGGCTTCCTTTGGGATCCAAAGCTAGGGATAGCCAGAATTTAAACAATTCTGAAATGTTGGGACTGAAAAATATAACATGTTCATCACTATTAATAATAGCTAAGGAGAAACAGTAGAAAAAAAAATAGATGAAAGTGCGGCTAGCAGCTTTAACTGCTCGTTTCAAATCATCCAAATATAAATCAAAATATCTCAGAATCACCCAATTCCATCAATAATAAAGCTTTGTGACTTCTGAAAGAAAAGAACTCTAAGGCCACAAGAATAAGTAAACTCGAAGTGTGTTCCAAGCCAACAGATTTCATATCTCTTGACAAATGGCTACACTTTCTATGTTTCCATTATGGTTTTGCATGCATTTCCTTGTATGAATAGAATTGAATATATGAATATGAATAGAATTCCTTCAAACATCATTTCAATTAATATATCCTGCAAGTTAAAAAGAAGAGAAATAAGGCCAGGAGATTTTGGAAACTGGGACTCCTGCAGGCACAAAATACCTGCTACCTTAAATGTGAAGAAACAAAACGTAATTGTTCAGTGAATTTCAAAATGACTTGCATTGGCAAATCTTGTATACATCTGTAAAGACAGAAATGAATAAAATTGTCCAGTCCAAAATATGCACTGAAATAACCTCCAGTGCAATTGACCATCTTTAATACACATGCAGTACTTGCCATTTACCTACACTGTTATTAAGAAATTTAACTCTCCTGACAGTCTTGTGAATATGAAGAAACAGCAGTACAGATGATGGCTTTTTTTTTTTTTTTTTACATGTCAAGAGCATGGGCAACATAAAGCAAGGAAGTTGTCCTGACACTCCTCACAGACAGACATTCTTGCCTTTGCCTGTGTTCTCTGCATGAGCAAAGGTGATCTGGTATCTATGAGTTCAGACCTTCTACTTAATAGAAAATGAAGACAG